TAGTACTAGTAGTAGTAATAGTAGTAGTAGTCGTAGTAGTAGTAGCAATGCTAGTAGTAGTAGTAGTCGTAGTAGTAGTAGTAGTAGTCGTAGTCGTAGTAGTAGTAGTAGTAGTAGTAGTAGCAGTAGTAGTAGTAGTAGACGTAGTAGTCGTAGTCGTAGTAGTAGCAACAATGGTAGTAAAAGCGCACGTTCAATTGTGGTAACAGTAGCCGCGGTCAGATCGTAATGCTTGAATTGGTGGGAGTAGTCGCAGCCGTAGTCGCACTCGTGGTTGTAATAGAAGTAGGCGCCGTCGTAGTAGTAGTAGTAGTAGTAGTAGTAGTAGTGGCAGTAGTAGTAGTAGTAGTAGTATTATCGCAATCGTAGCCGCAGTAGTACCAGTAGTAGTAGTAGTAGTAGTAATACTCGTAGTAGTAGTAGTAGTAGTAGTAGTAGTAGTGGTAGTGGTAGAGGTAAGAATGATGGTAGTTTTGGGATTACCAGTCGTAGTCGTAGCAGAGGAAGAAGTGGACATCAAAAGGGTCGTGGTAGCAGTAGTAGTAATATCAATAGTAGTAGCCGTGGTGGTAGTAGTAGTAGTAGTAGTAGTAGTAGTAGTAGTAGTAGTAGTAGTAGTAGTGGTAGTGGTAGTAGTAGTAGTAGTAGCAATCACAAAAATGTAATAATAGTAGCAGTAGTAGTAGTGGTATGGGTAGTAGTAGTAGTAGTAGTAGTAGTAGTAGAAGTAGTGGTAGTAGTAGTAGTAGTAGTAGTAGTAGTAGGTGTCGTCGTAGTAGTAGTAGTGGTAAACGCAGTAATAGTAGTAGCAATGGTAGTCGTACGAGTAGTGGTAGCAGTCATAACAGTTGTGAAAGTAGTAGCCGTAGTCGTAGTGGTGGTAGTAGGAGTCGTAGTAGTAGCAGGAGCCGTAGTAGTAGTAGTAGTAGTAGCAGTAGCGGTAGTTGTAGTAGAAGTATCAGTCGTACAGTAGTAATAGAAGTAGAAGGGGTAGTAGGGGTAAACCGAATAGTGGTACTAGTAGTAGTAATAGTGATAGTAGTAGTAGTAGGAGCAGTAGCGGTACTTGTAGTAGTAGTATCAGTAGTATCAGTAGTAGTAGTAGAAGTAGAAGGAGTAGTAGCGGTAAAAGTAATAGTGGTACTAGTAGTAGTAGTAGTAGTAGTAGTAGTAGTAGTAGTAGTAGTAGTCGTAGTAGTAGTAGTAGTGATAGTAGCAGTACTAGTAGTAGTAGTAGTAGTAGAAGTAGTAGTAGTAGTAGTAGTAGTAGTAGTAGTCGTAGTAGTAGTAGTAGGAGTACTAGGAATAATAGTAGTAGTAGCAGTAGTAGTAATAGTAAGTGTAGTAAAATTTTTTAGTAGTGGTAGTAGTAGTAGTAGTAGTAGTAGTAGAAGTCGTAGTAGTAGTAGTAGTAGTAGCAGTAGTAGTAGCAGCACCAGTAGTAGTAGTAGTAGTAGCAGTAGTAGTAGCAGCACCAGTAGTAGTAGTAGTAGTAGTAGTAGTAGTAGTAGTCGTAGTAGTAGTAGTAGTAGTAGTAGTAGTAGCAGTGCACATGGCCTTCGTGTCGCTACAAACCCCACCTTCGTGTACTCTTCTTTTGTATCGGGACTCATAAAACTTTTACAAAAAGGGAATTACGAAAACCGTAGTTTCAAACCTGGCCTTCGTGTCTTTCGCGCCAATGCCTACCTTCGTGCACTATTCGCTGTAGAAGCTGTAGATTGGATTCGCATTAGAAAATGAACAAAAACAGCAGTTTTACACCTGTCCTTCGTGTCGACGTCGGATTTGGAGCAACCGCCACAGCCAGCCGCTTCGTTTCGGCACAACCCTCTCGAGGATCGCGTGGGCCTGGCTCTCCGACGCGCGATTCCGGCGCGCACTTCGTTAGGATCGTGGCCCTGGTCCAATTGGGAGCGCTGCCGAAGGCCCACCGACGTCCAATTCCGGCACGCCGCTCACGAGGATCGTGTCCTGGCCCACCTGGGAGCGCTGCCGACGGCCCACCGATGAGCAATATCGGCGCACCCCTCAAACGGATCGTAGACCTCGCCACATTTGGATCGCCGCCCGACGCTGAACTTCGGCACACCTCTCACATGAATCGTGGCCCTGGCCCACTGTGGAGCGCTGCCGACGGCCCACCGACGCCCAATGCGGGAACACCCCTCACGAGGATCGTGGCCCTCTGGTCCACTTGAGAGTGGGTTTTCATAAGGACGTCGTTTTGGTTTTATTCGGGAGCGCATTCTGGTTTTATTCGTTTCTGGTTCGTGATGGTTAGGAGGAAGAGAGGAAGGAGGAGGAGGAGGAGGAGGAGGAAGAGGAGGGGGGAGGAGGAGGAGGAGGGGGAAGAGGAGGATGAGGAAGAGGAAAGCGAGCAGGAAAAGAGGAACGCTGTTTTCTCGTCTTCCACAATGGGTTTGCGAACCTCACCTTCGTGTACTATTGGCTCTATAGCCCCTGTATTGTTTTCTTACGAGCGAACGGCGTAATTGTGGGTTTCCGAACCCCTTCTTCGTGTACTATTAGAATCAGTGGGCTTCCGAACCTCATCTTCGTGTACTATTAGGTCTATAGCCCCTGTATGTTTTCCTATCAGCGAATGGCGAAATTGTGGGTTTCCGAACTTCTGCTTCGTGTACGATTAAGATCCGACTATTCTATGTTATTCTATTTGGTTTTATATGACTGTGTAGAACCCGAACCCGAACCCGAACCCGAACCCTTACCCATTCATTCTTAGTAGACACGAAGGTGAAGTTTGACCCTAGTAGTAGTAGTAGTAGTAGTAGTAGTAGTAGTAGCAGCAGTAGTAGTAGTAGTAGTACTACTACTACTAGTAATAGCAGTAGTAGTAGTAGTAGTAGTCGTAGTAGTAGTAGTAGTAGTAGTAGTAGTAGTAGTAGTAGTAGTAGTAGTACTAGTCGTAGTAGTAGTAGTAGTAGTAGTAGTAGTAGCAGTAGTAGTAGTAGTAGTAGTAGTAGTGCAATAGTAGTACTAATCGAAAAAAACAATACTACCAGTAGTAGTAGTAGTAGTAGTAGTATTAGTAATAGTAGTAGTAGTAGTAGTTGTTGTTGTTGTAGTAGTTGTAGCAGTGGGAGTAGTAGTACTAGTAGGAGTAATAGTAGTGGTATTCGAAATAGTGGTACTAAATATAACAATAGTGGTGTAGTAGTCGTGGAAATAATCGTAGTAGCGGTAGCCAACATAAAATCGAAAACCTTCTATAGCGCTGCCACGCGTGGGATGATGACATTGCGAGTCAACACAAGAAGATAACACATTCGGTGTGTAACTGTCCCCCGCGTTAACAAAGTTCGGCCTTGCCGTCCCCCAACCAACCAACCGAAACTTCATTGGCGGGGGATAATGAACTCTCAGGAATTAATGGGGGGGATCTGACTTATTATCTGGGGCACCGGGTCAACCAGGGCCGCCCGTCGGGATTGGCAAAAGCACCGACAGTTCGAACGTGCTGCCTAGAGACGGACCCGCACTGACAAGGGTGACAGGGTCACAAAATACGGAAGAGGGCCTCCCCTCGGAAAGATTCTGGATTGTTGTATCTTTGGTCGCAAAATCCAGATCCTGATGCAAGGCGCCATTACACCTTGGTGCGAACTCTGATGCGAGCACGTTGGCCATGTGAGAAAGCTTCTCTGCTGTCAGGTGAGGCCTTTCCATTGTTTCCTAAAGCCGACACCATCCCCTCCCCGCAGTCGCACTTCGTAGTCCACGCCCGTGGGCCTGGGGTCACTTGTCGGCGCTCTGTTTGGCCTCTGGACGGCGCCGAGACAGCTACAAGGAGCCAAGATGGCCTCAAGATGCCCCCAAGCTGGCCTCATATGCCTCGATGTTGCCCCAGACAATATACAATGGTATTCGCGTTTCCGCTTTCCGAGGCTTCCGGCAACCCAAGACAGCCCCAGGAGGCTTTCAACACAGCCCAAGAGGCCCCGAAGACGGCCAAAGAGGCCCCCAAGACGGCCCCAAAAGGGCTGCAAGTCGGCAAGAGCGACCTCCAATTCGGCTCGCAGCCGACCGAAGAGGAACCCAAGACGGCGCTACTGCGCTGGCACGATGGCTGGGTGTGCTGCCGCCGGCAGCTAATCACGTGCAGAACCCTGAAAGGTCTTTCGCCCCCCCCCCAAAAAAAGGGTTACCAATTATCGAAGGACTGGGGTCCCACCAATCGGGGGCAACTATTTTGTTCGCGGCACTTAGGACCAGTCCTAGTCACCGCCGAAAGAAAAAAAAGCTGGGGACCCCCAAAAACATTTAGCAATTACATACCCAGACATGCGGCCTCCTGATGCTTTCAAGACGGCGTCCCCGGAAGTCCCGACCCTTTCCCCGGGGCCGGTTTTTCATCCCGCGTCGTTTCGTTGACGAACCCAGGGCCTGGCGAGAGCCCCCAGGGGCCGAACATAGCGAAACACTGGCCGTACTGTTTTTTCTCTTTCTCTTTTGTACTACGTGATCATGTCTGGGTAGCAATGCAGCCCACGCCCCCCGCAGCTCCTCCTCGCCACCTCCCTGCCTCTCCCCGCAGGGGAGCAGAGGAGGAGGGGGGAGCGAGAGGAGCACGATGCCCAGGAGGCGCAGGGAGGAGCCACGGGGGGGGATGCGAGAAAGACGAGGAGTGACAGAGATGTGGGGGAGGAGTGGGGGGGAGGAGGATGTGGGGCAACAGTGTATATATACATATATATACATACATACATACATATACATAACATACATATATACACACACGGGCAACCTGCCACGAACTTCGCCTGTGCCTTTTGGGAGGGCGGCGGTGTATAAAGCCGCCGGCTTTGGTGATTTATACACCGCCACCCTGTGAAGACCAGGAACAATTCAACGGAGGGCGCCTGTGTTTAGATATATATATATATATGCGGCGGAACGGACGGTGGTGCCGGAAAAAGCGCGTGTGTAGCGATGTTTTCCCGACCGCCACGGCCCCCCCGTCGCTTCGGCGCCCAGTCCTTCTGCATCCGCTTCCAGTGGTCGAGCTGGGTGTGCGTGGAGGCGTAAGGCGCGCTAGGCTGCGTGGTGATGCCCCCCCGAGGCGGCAACATGCGTGTAGCCATGGGCGCCTGGCTTGCAGGTCTCTCTCTCTCTCTCGCTCTTTCTCCCTCTCTGCCTCTCCTTCTTTTCTTGTTGTATTGTTGTTTTGTTTATTTGTTGCTCTCTCTCTCTCTCTCTCTCTCTCTCTCTCTCTCTCTCCAATTCTCATTCAACGCGATAAAGTAAAAAAATTGGGGGCCGGACCAAGACGCGCCTAGACGAGGCCAGATCGGGCCGAATGAGGCCCAGCTGGGCAGGAGAGCGGGCGTGCACCGCGGGAAAACCGGGGCGGCGGAAGCCAGACCGGGCAGGGTGGGGCCCAGCAGCAGCTGAGTATGAGTAAAGCTTAGCTGGGGGCGGCCAAGAGGGGGCAGCCAAGAGGGAGTGGCCAAGAGGGGGGCAGCCAAGAGGGGGGGGGCGTAAACCATGGCCGGCGGCATGTGCGCGGCCCAAAAGGGGGGCCGGGGACGCATCGAAATAGGAAGAGGCGCCCTGACATCTGGGAAGATAGCATGGCCCCCAGCGATGCATCGGCGAGGCATCGGCGATGAATCCGGCGATGCATCGGCGACGTCCGCGTGAAGCAGACCGGGCTCCACATCTAGCCGCATCGATGATGCATCGACGATGCGGCGCAATCCTCGGACCCCATCTACTCGGACCCCATCAAGGAGGCCTAGAGAGTTGCAGCCTAACTCCATGTCTCCCCGGACCTCCGGGTTTTGAAAACGAGACGGAAGGGGCGAACATGCACCGCCTCGTGCCGGCTCCAGGCCGTCGGTCGTCTACCATACACACCCAGCTCTCTGGAGCCGTCCTGGGGCCCTCTTGGGCCGTTCTGGAGGGCTCGGGCTGTCTTGGGGCCCTCGTGGGGCCGTCTTGGGCTCTTTTGGGGGCTTTTTCGTGTCCGTCTTGGGCTGTCCTGGGGCTCCCTGGGGCCATCTTGGGGCCCTCCTGGGCCGGGCTCTCTGGAGTGCCACTGGGGCAGAAATGGGGCGGTCTTGGATGCTCATCCGGCCGTCTTGGACGCCCTGCCGACCCAAACGTCGGCAGGGCGTCCAAGACGGCTGGATGAGCATCACACTTACTCCAACTGTGCCCCAGAGGCACGCTCACACTCCGACTCGTTCAGACTCCGACTCGCCTACACGCAGTCTCTTATATTTTTGGAGGTCGGAGAAGGGGAGTGGCAAAAAGGAGTATGGTGCCAATCGTGGAAATGGTGATGCTATCTGCGGTAAATAACATCGCCAGATTCCCCGATACAAAAATTAGCACCACACCCCTTTATACCATACCCCTTTCCTACCTCCAGAATCTTGAGACCCACAGTTCTCCATACTCGTGCATGGATACTCGGAAGCCCCAGGGCCACCACAATGTAGCAGGCAAAGCACTTGAGCACCACAGGGGGGGAGCCCCAAGGGGATGGGACACTCGTCCGCTCTCGACCAGAATATGAGGATGCCTGGAATTTCGGGGGGCTCGTTGCACAACGCTTGGACCTCCCAAAGGGGGACTCGCCAGGGGGGGTGCACGCTCAAGGTGTAAGAATTTCTCGGACGAGCGCTCGCGCTGCGCCTCCGACCCCCCTCTCCCTGCAGAGCCGCACGCTCACCGCGATGCAACAGCAGAGCACCTCGGCATCGCAAGGGGGAGCTGCACGGCGGCAGACACTTTGCCCGATCGCGCCCACATTGTGAGAGCATCTCGAGCGAGGCGCCTGTTTTGCACCTCCCGATCCTCTCTCGCCACAGCCCAGTGATCACCGCGATGTAGGAGGCATAGCACTTGGGCGCCACAAGGGGGAGCCGCCAGGGGGTAGGACACCTACCCGTTCGCGCCCACAGTGGAAGGGTGTCATGAGCAAGGCGCTAGTGTTGCACCTCCGACTCCTCTCGTTCCAGACACCCATGATCACCGCGATGCGCGTTCTCACTCAGAACGTCTCAAGCGAAAGGCTTGTTTTGGTACCCCGACCCATCTATTTTGGAAACCCTCGTGATCACCGCGATGTAGCAAGCATGCCGCTTGGGCATCCGAGGGCGGAGCCGCCAAGGAGTAGGGCACGGGGCACTTGCCCGTGCTCGCCCAGACTGTGAGGACGTCTCCAGCGAAATGCTGGTTTGGGCACCCCCGAGCCCTGTCCTGTCAGAGAGCAGTGGGCACCCGTAGAGGGAGCCGCCCGGGTGTCTTCCACGGGCCCAGTCACGGCCAGATTGAGGGGATGCCTCGCAGGCACCGGTAGACACCAGCAGACACCAACCCATACGAGCACATACCAGCAGCGACACCACCAGTACAGCACCCGAAAGGGAAGCCGCCAATGAGGTAGGACACTTGCCCGATCGCGCCCATATTGTCGAGACGACTGGGATGTTGCGCTTGTTTTGCACCTATAGCGGAGGCCAGTCCGCA